AAAAGATTGAAGAGACATTAGAGTCCTGGAAGCTACCAAGTGAGCTAAAACATTGTGCTGACGTTGCCAAAAATAAGATGATCAAAATCACACTTGTACCCCCCGACCCGAAGGTGCTAAACCACAGCTTTAGCATTAGAAAATAGAAATGATGATGGGATTTCCCACCTCGAACATGGCCATTCTAATTAAGCTCAGCCTCATGGGTTGGTCTACAAGACAAGACAAGCATTGATTATATTTATATGGTTCACGTGTAATCAATCAAAATACTCTCATTATTTATTTTTTTATCGTCGTATGACGTATGATGTATGCATCATCAATATAGTCATACTGCGCTATGAGACAATTTTAAACTGCCAAGTCATGCTTATATTTCATTTACATATAAAATCCGTGGAGTTTGATTTGACTCGGTACCTTCCCCATTTTCTTTTAGAGGGATACTAGCGGATTAGCCAGCAGACATCACATTTGGACTCACTATACTATCCTTTATTGAGGGCAGTCGAAACATCCTAATTGTGCGGGCCCATGTTCTTCTTATTAAGGGTCGATTTTTCTTTAGTATCGGTCGGTTTTGGGGTTACAAAAAACATAAATCGATGGTTTGGTTCAATTTTGGTTTTCATGTATGAAAACTGAAATTAAATCGATCCAAACCGACTTAGATATATATTATATATAATATATTTCAGATATTATATATATGTTTGATATATTTCAGATATATATTTATGGATAAATATATATATATATATATTTCAGCTTTATTTCAGAAATATACATATTATATATAAAATATCAGTTTTAATCCATCAAATCATTTTTAATTTTCAGGCATCCAGCCTTTGCTTTCTTAGACTTGAATCTTTTACCGTTCACACCGAGAGAATCATTCACAAAACCGACCAAATCCGATTCAAACCGATCAGATCGGTTTTACTTAGTATTGGGTTGGTTTCAGTTTCATTTCTAGGTAAACCGACCAAGTTGGGTTGGTTGGAAAAACGCCAATAAACCGACCCAACCCGACCCATGAACAACCCTACTCCTATCCATAGCCCATAGCCCATAGGGTTTGCAAAATCTTAGAGTTACCCAAACGGTGTTTGATTCCAATTATGGTTATTTTCCGAATTCCATGAGAAATTTCCTTATTGCGTAGCTTTCTCTAAGGCTGTGTTTGCGTTGATGGAAAAGGGACAGTCCAGCGAAAGGATTCCTTCACATGGCAAAAGAATTTTCAAAGATTGAAAAATGAAAACACCCGTTTCCTTCTTCTACCATGAAAGCGGAAGTCTTGCATTTATTTTTTATCTTCTTTCCTTTTTTGTTGGACAAACAGACTACACAACCAGCCAATAGACCTTTACCCCCAGCAAGCAAGCTGAGATCAGACTGGACAACTTCAAAATCATGCGTTTGTTGGGTACAGAACAATGTCAACTGACATCAGACTGGACTAGAATGTTATCTGGTGGTGATGAGAAACTAAAAAAATAAAAATAATCCATCCTAACAGTAATTTCAAAAAGTAAATGCAACTTTCTCTTATTGATCAGAATAATAAGAGATTTATTCAATTCAACAGTTTTAATTGAATGTTGATGGTGCGCGATCTGGCCGGTCCTAACTGTCAATGACCTTGCTTCTGGATGGAGCTACAGGGAACCTGAAACGGAGAAGACGAGGGAACTCCGGGGGGAACTCGGTGAGATTGCTCCGAAGCTCAAGTTAGAATTCTCTCAAAGGCAAGATAAAACCAGATGGCACAAAGTTCACATACCTTGTTCTTATGGGGTAGGGAGCCTTTTATAACCACCTCGTGCACTCACTTCTAAGCTTCTGTCAGGTCGGGTATGATTATCTCTGAGCTCTGCCAGTTCGGGTGTCATCCCCTCTGCTAGTTAGAACCACCACTGCTCTTTTTGTCAGAGCCGTCTCTGCGACTGGCGATGACAGTGGCAGGTGGCCGTTGAAGTGCGGCTGTCAAGCGTTAGATCCCAAGTTAGTCAGGTGCGCCGCCCTTGGATACGGACCTCCTCGGTGTCAGGTATGGTACGTTTGTTCAGTTCGGCGTCCTGGAGGCGAAGTGCTGGAGTAGTGAGCGAGGTGAAGTCTTGAGTTCGGATAGGGGAGTGTCCCGAACTGCCATGAGGCGGGCCAGTTCGGGTCATTGCCTTGTATGAGGCTCAAGGCCTAAGGGAGAGTTTGGGCTCCTTGTAGGGAGTTCGGGCTCCTTGTAGGGAGTTCGGGCTCCTTGTAGGGAGTTCGGACTCCTATTAGGGAGTTCAGGCTCCTTGTAGGGAGTTCGGGCTCCTAGTAGGGAGTTCGGACTGCTGGTTCCTCCCTTCGGTGCTCGCGCCTTGGGCGCGCTGTTGTGCCGAGTTGTTGCCTTTGCCACGTGTTGAGTGATTACAAGGTCGGGCCAAATCTTTCTTCATCAAATATAACACATCATCATCCTCTACAATCCTGTTTGTCCCACATTAATTTTTCAAAGGGTATAATTATACTCAGATTTGGGTGAATATAGAAAAGGTCCTTCACATGAAGGAATAATGGGGAATATTGAATTCCCATACTTTCCACGGTTGGGTGTTTGTTTTCAAGAACATGAGCATTTATGCCACTACCATCAAGGGATTCGTCATTCCATTGTTTGCCGACAAAGTGGGGATTGATTCAACGCTTGCGCTGCTGCTTAGCGACTGAATACTGTTTATTTGGGTGGCTATTGTTACTCTCACTCACTTTGTCAGATTTCTCTGTCCTTATTGATTGTATTACTATTAAAACTCCAACACGGAAAGCATTCAATTTTGACTCGTGCACATAATCCTCCACCCATTTCACACGTGATTTTAGTGTTTCTATCTAGAATTAGGATCTGCTCCTCACATATGGCGCAACGATCTCACAGGCACATCCCACACCATGCATTAGAAACATTTTTTATAAATAATAATACATAAGTACGAAAGATATACCCGTGAGATGTATCTGATGAGATGCCCAACAAGGTTTTTAAAACCAAATCAAACAACGAATTGGCCAGTGGTGGTCAATGAATTGGCCGCCGGCTACCTGTTCGTTTAAATCTTTAAAAAGGGATTTTTTTTTTGTCTTTTAGTGCCTAGTCCAATCAATGAAACGGCCGTTAACTTAACTCCGTTAATCTGTTATTTTGTTTGTTAACCCATTATTGGTGACGTGTTCAATGTGTATTGGTGGATTTATACTTCCGTGAACTCATGGGTTTACAGGACATTCAAGTTTTAGGGTTGGGCCTAGGACCAACCTGCGCAAGTTTAATCTTAATTTTATTAGAGTTTTTTTTTTTTTTTTTTTGTGAATATACTTGGAATAGCAAATTTGCAACTTGGATTCCATTAGTCGAAGGTTGATTCAGGGTTACGGTTAGGGTTAGGATTAAAAATTAAAATGGAAAACTACGGACAGACCCAATACACATTTCTGAATTCCTGTAAAGCTATAAACATTTAAAATGTTAATAACCCCACTCTATATATCAATGCCTGCTCCCGTGAATTGACATCAATTCTGAGCATGCACCTACCCCAAGGTCCCCAATTATACTTTGGGCCTAAAAATTCTGACCCTAGAATGAACTGTCAATTTAAATTAAAATTGAATTGAGTTAAAATCCAATACCATCCCTTAAGGGTAGGGTTCTCTCTGCTTCTATTTGTCCATGTCCTTTCTTGGATTCAGTCATCACAAGACCATATTCACACCGCATTCATAACTACTTGCAACCATCTACTGGAAGTATCTCCGTATTTATATATTTTTATTTATGAAAAAATATTTCAAATGCAGAATTGCAAGTGGATGTAAGGACGGTGTGAGCACTGTCTTGCAAGGACTTAATCCGATTCCAAAAGTATCAACAGCTTAGGAATTTACTACATAGTGATTAACCCTCACGGTAAGTTTTTTTTTTACACTTTTAAATTCTGGTAAATTTTCATAAATTTTGCATATTCTTTTTTTTTTTAATACGACAACAGAAACAAAATAAGAAAACTTTCAGGTGAATGTGCTCTGGTTCCAAAAATTCAGGGTTTTATCATTAATATATTTCGTTCAAAAATTTGGGTAATTTGCATCAATATAATTAAAAATAAATAAATAAAAATTATAGATAAGATGAAGCAAAATAAATAAATTTAATTTTAAAAAGCCAAAATTTCCAAACCTTCAAAAAGAAAATCATTTGACATCAAGGTCAAAATGACCAAAATTTCGGAAATTTACAACCTTACTGATGCCTAATCAAGTAATCACCTCTGGAAGTGAGGATTGTTTATGTTGTAATACATCATCTTCTCCAACCAACAGTCCAATAGGGGTGAACAAAAAAACTGAAAAACTGAATCGACCAAAATCAAATCGAAAATTCAGTTAACCAAATAGATCGGTATATATATTTTATATATTATAAATTAATAAATATGTATTATATATAAATATATATTTATAATATATAATATATTATTTATTATTTAAAATGTAATATTATATATATTTCTAATATTTTATTATAATAAATATTGTAAATAATAAAAAACTGAAAAATTGACGAATCAAACCGATAATTAACTAAATCAGTCAATCAGTTAATCGATCGACTTCAATTCCACTTGGGTTAACCCCGGTTCGATTTCAAAAATTAGCCCAACCGAACCATGAACACCCCCTGGGTCCAACAGTAGCGTAAAGAGTAAGCTCTTTTCAGTCTTGTTTAGAAGAGACGACCAAAGTGAATTGGGCACAGTGAAGCAAAGTGAGGTGAATCAAAAAGGAAGTTGTTGAAACCTACCTCCGATGCAACGGGTTCGATTCAAAATAGCGTATTACTGTTTGGTTACGTGTCTAAACAGTTATGGCATTTTTTTCACAGTGGCTGCTCTTAAGACTTATAATGGAAACCACACACAGGAAAACGTGTATAAATTTATCAGGTAAAAGTCATCTCATATCTATTGCGTCCAGATATATTCCGTTTGGATGGAGTAATAGAGACTAGAGAGGAGGAAGCAAAAACTAAAAAGAAAAAGGTGGCTATATCTATATCTGTGCTTCTGCTTCAAACAACTGATGAAAAGGACGATCTATCCATGGATTCCTTGCAGCTCTTCTCTCTGTTACTTTTCATTTTTGCAGCTTGCTCGAATCAGCAACCTTGTTTAGGGAAACAAGGATTTGATTCTCTTGGCAGTGAGGGAAACCCCTCGATAAGAGATGAGATAATTAGGCTGTCGAACGCTCCTGACACCGTGAATTGGCTGAAAAAGATAAGAAGGAAGATTCATGAGCACCCAGAACTGGCATACGAAGAATATGAGACGAGCAAGCTCATCAGGAGCGAGCTCGATCAAATGGGCATCGAGTATCGATGGCCTGTTGCAAAGACGGGTGTGGTTGCTACCATAGGCTCCGGATCCCCTCCTTTTGTTGCTCTAAGAGCAGACATGGATGCTTTGCCTATTCAGGTCTCTCTCTCTCTCTTTCTCTTTCTCTTTCTCTTTCTCTTTCATTAGAAAAGAGAAAAAGGTAAATGCATTAAATAACCATAACCATTTAGAATGTTAAAAAAAAACTTTTATTTGCCTCCTCATACAATACAACGCTTTCTTCTTTTTCTGCTTTAGATTTTGGGATTCCGTTTTGCAAGGTGAGAGTGACCTGTACCTTTGAAAAAGTTCTCTACCATCAGGAAATGGCTGGCATCTGTTACTTTACCCACAACCTGACACTCGATTATTGTCACCCTTCTGTTGGATTGAGTAAGAAATCCCTCACACCACGTTGCAGCAGTGCATTGAAAACGTCTGATCTCCCCATGCCGATGTGCGGCTGCAAGTTCTGTGAGGAGCGCTCTGATCCCATAAATTCCGGATTGGTCGGAGATCGATGGTGGCGTCTTTTCTTTCGTGTGTATCCCTACTTCTCTGTATTCTTTTGCCTGTTCAGCATCAACGTACGGTTATTTATTTATTTACTTTTTTCGCTTCATGTGGCTACACAACAGGGGTAGCCCATCCCCTTTAGCTTAGATCTCCGGGAACTGTTCAAACATTTTGCTTTTGAAAACTTGACACCAAAAGTTAGATTTGCAACCAACGGAAGGAAGTTAACTACAAAACATGAAAAAAAAAAAATATATATATATATATATATATATATATATATACGAGAAAATCTCTGTTGCTCGGTACCAGAGAAAATATATATCAGAGATTCCAGGGCCTTTGTCCGCGAGTCTGTCAAAATTACCTGTACCTAAGAATATTTAGTTAACAGGAAAACACTGTTAACCAAAAAGTGGTAAAATGATTAACTAGATAGTGTGATTCTGATCTATGGATGAATCTTACAGCTCATCAAATTGTTGACAGAGCATTCCACAGCCCAGCTGAAATCTGGATTAAAACCCCAGTTCAGCCATCAAAAAGCTTTCAAACTTTCACTTTGGGCATCCATGTCCTGTACCTGGATAGTTCCTGAAAATCATACTCCAACAGTAATAACACCGTGTTCTATAGTGATCATTTCTATATTAATTCATAGACTGAGGCTCGATGAAGTAATCCATCATTCAGTAGTGCTCTTGATGTAATTAATACGAGATTGTCCTTGTAGGAAATGGTGGAGTGGGAGCATAAGAGCAAAGTTGCAGGGAAAATGCATGCCTGTGGACATGATGCTCATGTCACCATGCTTCTCGGAGCTGCAAAGATACTGCAAGAGCTGCGAACCACGTTGAAGGTCACATTACAGTAACACAATCAATCCATATAAAACATTAAAATTGTTTTTTGTTTTTCACCTTTTTCATACTCTCTTTGACACCCCCGATATCTGAATGCTTATGCAGGGAACTGTTGTCCTTATATTCCAACCTGCTGAGGAACGAGGTGATGGGGCGCTGAAAATGGCGGAAGAAGGGGCACTAAGAAATGTAGAGGCAATCTTTGCCATGCATACTGTATATCAGTATCCTACAGGTGTTGTTGCTTCTAGGCCTGGAGAATTTCTAGCAGGGTGTGGAAGCTTCAAAGCAAAGATCAGTGGGAAAGGTGGTCATGCAGCGATCCCACAACATTCTGTTGATCCTGTTTTGGCAGCCTCAGCGTCAATAATTAGCTTACAAAATATTGTTTCAAGAGAGACAGACCCTTTGGATTCCCAGGTAACCTTCAAACTCAAACTTAACCGTGTTTAACCCCACAAACCCAGAAATTCAAAGTTTGCTGGTAGAACCCGGGTGTTCAAGAAAACAAGTCCATACAAGAGTTAATAAACAATCTAGGAATTATATAGGAGATTTCTGTTAGTTATGAACTTTACTAAGAACTGTTATAGTTCGTTTTGATTTATTCAAAAATTATACTCTGATATGTAAATGTTTGGGTGGTGCAGGTGGTTTCTGTGTCCAACTTCCAAGCTGGAACTGCATATAACATAATCCCAGACTCGGCCCTGATTGGTGGTACTTTCAGAGCTTTCAGAAAGAATAACCTTAATGTGTTGAAGACACGAATAGAAGAGGTACTATCTAACAACCTTTATACATCTCCCCACTGGCCACTGTTTACTCCTCTTTAAAGGGACTACTTCTCAATTTCAAAAGCATGAAACTTTTACTTTTAGTTCTGGATTCCTGGTACAAAGGCCATACACATATGGATAGACATTGAGCCTCTCTGAAAACATTGGATGGATATGAACATCAATTAAAACCTACCAAATCCCAATTAAACGAACTACACCCAGAATGCACATCGATTGGATATCTCTACTTTCCAATTAATGCAGAGGATAAAAATGAAGTTTAGCCAAGTTGCCCACATGAATGACTTAGCAGTTTTATTTTTCATGCATCAGGTTATCAAGGGGCAGGCCGCAGTACATCGATGCTCAGTAGACGTGGACTTCTCTGTAGAACGTCCCATGATTCCGCCAACTGTGAACGATAAGAGGCTTTATGATCTAATGCACCGTGTTTCAACTGGGATCATAGGACATGATAATATGCATGTAGCTCCTTGCTACATGGGAAGCGAAGATTTTGCCTTCTATTTAGACCAAATTCCGGGTACTTTCCTTTTGATAGGCACCAGGAATGAGAAGATTGGAGCAATTTATCCTCCACATAGCCCTTATTATACCATTGATGAGGATGTACTTCCCATTGGAGCAGCAATACATGCAGCATTCGCGCATTCATACCTTACAAATTCAACTATAAACATAAGTTGATACACCATTCCTAACTTGCTTTTCTTTTTGCAATCCTGAAGAAGTTGAATGTAATATCACAAGTGTGATAGATAGTGAACTACAAGCAAGATGTAATTCATTCGTTTATTAGTAGAAGGATATCGAAATTGGGGGGAAAGCACCAGAAATGCATGCTCACCCAAAGTGCAGCACGCCTCAATGGAATCTACCTGTGTACTTTAAAGGGCTTTCTCTCTTTTTCTTCTTGTGTAATGGATGTAGAGGTAGCTTGGAGTTTAAGAGCGCTTTGACATTTAAGACCTACAATGAAACTTTGCTTAATGCCTTACCATATATATTACGCTTGGTAGCAACAATCACGGTAAAACATACATTGATATTCTCCCAATATAAAATTGTTGCCCATAATGTATTTCTGCAACACAATAATACTGAATTATGCACTGTTTCAACCCCATGCACCGACGGGCATCAATTCATGACCATGGTTGATACATTTAGACGATCCATTGCTTGCGGAATTTTTCTAATTCCTCTTGTACATCATTTTAGTCCCTTGAAAAGAGATGGTTTGTTCTGTGTTAAACAATGCATAGAGATATTTAAAGTTTTAAACCATGCCTAAAGAAGTAACAATCTCTATTTTTTACCAAGTGCAGAAAACGAAGGGATTGACATAAACTAGAAAACAGCTGACAAGCTAAACTAGTATAACATAAGATGAAAAGCTAAACTGTGAAGGTCAAGCCGTAGCTGCCTGTTTTGGTCTTTGTAATTCTCTTTCTTCGGTGCAAGCTGAATTTAAGGATATCTAAATGGCATTGACTTAGATGAGGCCTGTGGTTTCTCTCATCTTTTTGTTGAAAGCGATTGCCTTTCTCTTATTAACTGTTTTTCGGAGGAGAATATATAGCAGCATGCCTATGGAGAATTTCTTTTTGTCAGACATTTTGGCTGAAATTCATGGTTTGCATGTTTCTTTTGTCAAAGGTGGGCGAATCAGGTTGCTCATACTTTAGCTCGTAGAGGTCTTTATGGGTTTGGTTACCTCTTGTTTAATTTGGTAGGTCCCTCGGTAATTCGAACTTTTTTTTCCTTCAGTTCAGTAATATAGATTTACCAAAAAATAAAGGGAAGTTAATAACTTCATGTTCGCTATATTTAACAGATAAACATCTCACGATTTCATAAGGGAAATTTTTGCATGAAACACTTTGCTCATTCCAATTTCCATTAGGACAACTTTCTCGCCAAAATATCAAAATTTGAGTTAAAAGCCTGTCATCAAGTTATTATACAAATGGGTAAAATAAAGAATTTTGTAATGACAAGAAAAGTGATAGAAACAAATCAGCTCCATTTGAAAAGTTGAAGATGATCTGTTTCTAATGGACTACATTAGAAATAAAGAGTTTTGGGTGCTCAAACTTCAAAGCTCAATGGACTACATTGCTTTCCGAGAAGATGCCTGTGGTGATCCAATTTGGATATCTTTTGTGTAGATATTTGTGAGAGCAAATAGCAGCAGAACAAATACAACTTGTGCACTCATGATTCCAAAATGGCTGATGCTATTACCTATTTCCATCCAACTTCCTGTATTTCGGACCTGGATTTATTTTGAAGCAAAATCAAGAACAATACTAGAAAGGTCATACAGAAACCTTGAGAGGTGTAGGTAAGTATACTAAGCATACCAGGAAGAAGAAATGGATGGTCATGGCATCGGAAAATAAAATGACAAGGAAATAGCATCCTGAACGTGGAATTCGAACAAGCTTGGTTATAGCACTAAACGCACAGCTGCATCCATTTTCCAAGCAACAAATGTCAAGCAGCTTATCTCAGATACCACATACTGCAATGCCTGAAAGAGATTGCAATAGTTTGGCTACAAAGAAATGCCGACTTTTGGAAATCATGCACATATCACAAAAGCCAAATTTCTAATTAGAACAGTATTAATTTTAATATATTGTATTATATCAAGGCTGTCTTGTGCGTCTCCCTCCCAACCAACCAACCTTTCAACAATACCAATTAGCAATCAAAAAAGAGTAAAAAAGGATGAAAATGATGACAATAACTTTTTCTTGAGAAAGGTACCATAATGACAATAACACTTTTAACTGAATGTGCATGCTTCCAGCAAATGTTTTCCATATTATACTTATATCAAAGTCACAGAGCCTAGGAATATAACTTCTATTTTTCCTATTTAATAAGAGTTGGAGCATATTGTTGTTTAGAGATATCATTTTCTTTTATCAGATTACTTATTTACCAATTAGTTTCTCCTAAATCTAGGATAATAGTCTAGTCAAATGGCTCCTATTTTTAGGTGGTCATTTTCCCTGCATTCTTCAATTCCAGTCCCTATTTTACTTCAATTCCCGAGAACTGGAGTTCAGAATGTCTTGGTATTAGATCTCAATCTCATTGAAAGTAAATAAACATTAAACACCTACTCTTTGCCTCACACTCTTCAGACTGGAAAGACGTATTAAACAACAATCCAGAAAAAAGCTAATAAAATATTTCCCATAAAGTAGAAGCTCCAGCAATTAGTCCATAAATCAGGCATTTACAGAAAGGTCACCCCATGATAGATCTGCATCTCATTGAATTGGTAATGAAGACCTAAAAGACAAACTATACAATTTGGCAGAATATGACAGAATGGTTCCTCTAAAGTAACAACTCAAAAAATGGCATATAGTTCATCAAGACCAAAAATCATGCATTTACAAATTAGTAAGAGAGACGAGGCTTGAGACTAGAGCAGCCAGACAACTTAATTCTAATCAAGTTAGACAGATGATCTTTATCAGAATCTGTTTTAATCAGCAAACAACCCTGTTCCATAAGCCTTGGTTTTCAAACAATACGAAAACAATAAAAGAAAAGATGAAGAGACCAAGTAGTTTCTTTTCCTCTTATTTATAAAGATCAGCAAGAATGTGGAAACTATTGTTGGTTGATCCATAAATTATAGCAGATACAACCAAAATCAACAATAATATTAACATTAGCAACAAACAGTAAAACTAAATTTGCATCATAAATATAACTAACAGTTATAGCCTAAAGAGGAAAAAAACTTCAGCCAGATGCTAATCCTTACTTTCATCATCTAGATAAAATGATATAGCAAAAAAACAACAATCGCTACTGGAACCAGCCAATGAGTTTTGAATTAGAGAAAAACAAAATGTTCAGAGTTTGATCATGCAGAGGTTACAAATTAAAAAATTATTTTAGTCGCCTGCATCCAAGAAATTGCCATCTCTAAGATACAATACCCTAAATAAGATCCAAATCATGCTGATGGTTGAATAAAGATGCTATATAATTCATGTTTGAATGACTCACAAGAGGGAAATAAAGTATATAGTACTTACATGACAAGCATGAACGGAATGAATAACTTGAAAACAAGTAGCGCTGCCATCAGAAATGGCTGCAATAAATAGCAGAACACAGTAGCTTCAATAGATACCCAACATGAAAACCAATTGATTATACACCAAACATCAGACTTAAGTTTTTACTTACATTGAAGACTGTAATGAATCGATACACAGATGAAATCTCGAAGCTTGCAATACTAGCAAAGTTACCCGTTCCAAAAAATGCAACATTAAACAAGACCATCTATAAAAGAGAAGTACTATTAGATTCTTGAGACTATGGAACACTGTGGACAAAGCAGTATCACAAATGTCATATCTATTCAAATTTTCAATATGTATTCAATTGCAGATGTCAATCTTTATATACATATATCCATGTTTTTCTGTACATTTTGACTTGCAGCAGAAACTAGAAAAAATACGTTCACAAATACATTGATAATTCTAAGCTCTTCCAATGGTTTGATGACAGGCCTCTGAACAAACCTTGTTCTGTAGCTGACTGATATTGTGGTACGTGCACCTATGTTCAGATGACATCTTCAGGAATGGGAGTGTGAAAAGGTGGAAAATTTGCTGGAAAATATTGAGAATCACCTCTCTATCATTGGCAGTCAAGGCAGCCATATTTGAAAAGGGGAGAAATCAGGGGTGTTCTCTGTCAGGCCCTGTATTAAACGCTTGTCAATAGGTTCTGATTCAAATTTCCCCCACAAGCTGGTTTGGGTTGTTAGGGTATCTTCAAAAGTGTTTCTTTTTTTGCTGGACTGCATTGTTGGGGAAATGCCTCACCAAGGAAAATATTAGCAGAAGAGGGCTCATACTTGATGGGGCAAGGTGTGCCTTTTGCAGCCACAGGAAGGAAATAGCCATCTATTCATTCATTGCAAGCCCATATGGATGGTCTGGAGTTTTTTTCTTAAACATTCTAGGTATAAATTGGGTATGTCCCCAATCATCAACAGAATTGTTGGAAGGTGTGATGCAAAAGGGTCTAAGCAGCGGAGGAATGAAAGTTTGGAAGCTTATCCCAGCTGCGATCCTGTGGAGTAACTTGGAAGGAAAGAAATAGGAGGGTGTTTGATAATTGGTTTGCTCAAGAAGATTAATTTTTGAGGACTGTGTCTGCTACTATTTTTTGCTGGGTATCTTCCCTCCTCCCTGGGGCTTCTCTGTCATTCCAGCAGATCTTTATTGCTGACTTTCTTTTAATTAAGGGCAGGTGGTTTGTTATATAGGATTTTTTTTCATAATTAAAATTCATTGAGATCAATAAAGATATGTAACTGCTACAAGCATCCCAGGGAGAGGCACGAGGTGCAGCCTCACTCTAAAAGAAAGAACAAGGAAAAATTACAATTGAGCCCAGTACAACTGATCCCTAAGTACCCCCTGCTTAGCTAACGAATCAGCCAATGCATTGGCCTCCCTCCTCCCACCCATTGCATAACCAGATTCATATTACTTGTTAACCACTTGAACTTCTTCACTTCGTCCCTATAACACCACATCACTGAATCTGGATCTTTCAGCCAGCCCACTACCACCTTGGAGCCCTTCATTGTTATATTGGATTTTTGTCCCCTCTTTTAGGTGTACTCCAGGGTTTGAAGCTCGCAAAGACATAAAAATTAGTAATCTCATTGTGGAAGGTGATTGACAAGTTGTTATAAGATGCCTGTAATAACCCATGACCTTGGCAACATCAACATGCATTGAGATAAGGAAGTTCGCACAAGACCTAAGACTAAGAACCCAATTTCTATGGACAATGAGGGAGGCGAACTGCTTGGCTGATGCTCTATCCAAACAAGGGGTTAATAGAGAAAATTTGTATTGGGGAATCTGAGGTGGGGACGATTTAATGGTTATGGCATAGAGAGATGATGTAAACGTAATAAGGTCTTTTGGGGTTCTATGGAACATCTTCTTGTGAACTATATTTTATTTAGTTAATAACATATCCAGTTACCAATCGAAAAAAAAAAGAAAAAAAAAAACAGAAAAGGGAGAACATGGCTTACAAAAGTTAATGGGACTCTCAAGTCAGACAACTGCAAGCATCTCTCATCATACTCGAAAATGACTCTATCTTCTGCACTTCTTACGGAATTAGAAGATATGTTCACTTTACCCAAACAGAAGACTGAGAATTCAAACAATATCCATGCCACAAGTACAAGAGACAGTGCACTGTAGAAAACAGCTTCATATCTGTAAAACAAATTTGACAATGTTCAAGGAGTAGGGAAAATAAAGCACCATAAATTTGCATATTGATTGCATAATTGCATGATATTGGAAAAATATAACCATGACAACAATCTAAGAAAGAATACCCAATTGATAGTAGTAAAAAGGCAGGTGCAAAACCAAGACAAATAGAGGTCAGGCGGGCCAAGAGATCAGTTGGTGAAAACAATGGGAGAACCATAGAGAAACCTGCAAGGAAGAAAATTCGATGTAGTAAATATACATACTTTTTTTTTCAAATTCACAGCTATAAGCTTCACAGTCATGAATGCTTCCTCAAGTCACTGAAATATAAATGAGTGAGGGGGATATTGAATATACAAGTTTAACCTTTACAAAGCAATAACTTAAATTGGCAACAGAAGTCAACAACATTTCTAAAGAACAAAAGAATTGGCACATAAAAATTAGATAATTCAATCAAAGTTGAATAAATTACATCAGTAATATTTGCAGCAATTTCATAAAGAGTTTTCATCCATTTTACAATACATTTGTTTTATTTTTGGTTAACAAACATGAAGATTGAAGTCTCCAAATCTTTAAGCATTATTAACAGCCGAACAGAGGAGAAGAGAGATAGGAGAAGAGAAGAGGAAGGGAGGAGAGAAGAGAAGAGAGAGATTTGGAGTCTGCTACAGTGCCGCTACAGTGTTGGCGGCGCCAGCTAATATTAATATATATTGGGCAACCATAATTAGAAGGGAAAGGACCCTTATGCCCCTACTTAAGTTACAGCATAAAAAACAAAAGAAAAAACTGCTTTAATTTGTCCAAACGGACCCTWACTCAGCAGAATACAAACATAATAAATAAAGTTAGCATTCCAACACTCCCCCTCAAGTTGGGACATGGATGTCAGTCATGCCCAACTTGTCACACAAATTATTATGCCGCACGTGTTCAAGGCCCTTGGTGAAGATGTCTGCAAGTTGTTCCTCCGAACTAACATAAGGAGTGCACACTTCTCCGCTCACAAGTTTTTCTCTAATAAAATGCTTGTCCACTTCAATATGTTTTGTTCTATCATGGAGGACTGGGTTAGCAGCCTTGTTGTCACAGTAGAGTGACATAGGTTTGTTAACTGCAAAACCCAACTCTCCTAACAAATTTTTTATCCACATCATTTCAGCAACTCCATGAGACATGGCTATGTATTCTGCCTTAGCACTGGATCTAGCCACCACACTTTGCTTCTAAATTCTTCAGGTGACTAGGTTTCCTCCCACAAAGGTACAATACCCACTGGTAGATTTTTTGTCATCGATTACCCCTACCCAATCAGCATCTGTATACACCTCCACTTTCAAATGCCCATGTTTCTGGAAAAGCAAACCAGCTCCTGGGAACTTCTTGAGGTATCTAAGGATTCTTTCTGTAGCTTCGAAGTGAGTTGTCTTGGGATTATGCATGAACTGACTAAGAACACCCACTGCATAGGCAATATCGGGTCTGGTCATAGACAAATATAAGAGTCTCCATACAAGTCTCTGGAACTTCTTTACATCTTTCAAACACTCCCCCTGACTATCTCCTAGCTGATGGTTGGGTTCAATGGGTGAATCAATTGGTTTCACTCCCAACTTGCCTGCATCCTCTAATAGATCTAGTACATATTTTCTTTGGGAAATAAAGATGCCCCTTTTTGAGCGGGCAACTTCAGTTCCAATAAAATAATGTAAGGGGCCTAGATCTTTCACCTCAAATTGAGTGGCTAGGAATTTCTTCAGCTTCTGTATTTTAGTCTTCCAGTCTCCTGTGATTACTACGTCATCAACATAGACAATTAACGCTGCAATTTTCCCTTCACCTTTTTTCACAAATAAAGTATGATCTGACTGGCATTGTTTGAATCCCATCTGTTGCACTGCTAAATGAAACCTACTAAACCAAGCCCGAGGTGATTGCTTCAACCCATATAAAGATTTTTTTAACTTGCACACCTTCTACTCACTACCTTTGGCACAGAAACCTGGAGGTTGAGTCATGTAAACCTCTTCCTCTAGGTCACCATTCAAGAATGCATTCTTGATATCCAACTGATGAAGTTCCCAATCAAGGTTAGCTGCCAGTGAGAGGAGGATTTTGATTGAATTCATCTTGGTTACTAGAGCAAAGGACTCTGCATAGTCTACTCCATACACTTGTGTAAACCCTTTGGCCACCAATCTAGCTTTATATCTTTCTACTGAACCATTAGCTCTATGCTTTACTATGAATACCCACTTGCAATCCACTGGTTCCTTCCCTTCGGGAAAATCCACTAACTCCCAGGTGCCATTTTTGTGTAAGGTATTAATTTCTTCCTTCATTGCATCTGTCCATTCAGGTTTGGATAAAGCTTCTGCCACATTCTTAGGAACAGAGACATTGTCAATAGAGGAAAGGAATGCACGGTACGAAGGTGAAATATAACCATAGGACACAAAGTGAGAGATAGGATGATTAGTAGTACAAGACCTAACACCCTTTCTCTTAGCAATAGGAACATCAATATCATTAACAACAGGAGGATCAATATTAAGAGATTCAAGTATATCAATGGGAACAAGTGTACCTGGCTGATGAGGAGGATCTACCTCTGGAGAGTCCGATGATATTGGTTGCATAGTTTCAGGTTCCATGGCTCTTGAACTCTATTGGCTCTTATGGCGGCGAAGAAAGACCCGAAATGGAGAAGGGTCGGGAAGAGGAGGTAGTTGAACCTGAGTGTGTTTCTCCTCAACCCTACTCTCCCCCTGAGGAGAAACCAAGAAGAAGGGTTGACTCTCAAAGAATGATACATCCATGGAGACATAGTACTTGCGTGAAGCAAGACCATAGCAGCGATAACCCTTTTGAGATGACGGATAACCAAGAAAAACACAAGGAGTGGCACGGGGATCGAGTTTACCGTGAGTAGGAGACAAGTCATGAACGAAGCAACGACACCCAAAGACACGCATTGGAATGGGGGACAACGAAGCTGTAGGAAACAAGAGTTGATGTGGGGCCTTGTACTCTAGTAACCGAGATGGCATACGGTTGATGATATATGCAGCACACATAACAGCATCCGTCCAAAAACATTTCGGAACATTCATATGGAGTAATAAACCACGAGCTACCTCAAGTAGATGATAATTTTTCCTTTCAGCAACACCATTTTGTTGAGGTGTCTTGGTACAAGAGCTTCGATGAAGAGATCCACACGAAGCAAAGAACTCCGTGAGATCACTATGGAAGTACTCTTTTGCATTGTCCGACTAGAAAATGTGAATTTCAGTTTGAAATTGAGTGAAAACCATTCGTTGAAAGTTTTTCACAATCTTTGGCACTTCATCTCTAGATCGCATAGGATATACCCAAGAATATCTAGAGTAGACATCGATCGAAGTAATGAAATATTTATATCCAGTCTCAGTAGGTAGAGAAATAGGGCCCCAAACATCAGAATAGACAATATGAAAAGGATATTCAGATCTTTTATTTCTTAAAGGAAAGGAATTTCTACAATGTTTGCTCAATTGGCATGTATGACACTGCAATTAACAAATTAACAAAGACTTAAACAACTCAGGAAACATAAGTTTTAAAGACTCAAACGAAAGGTGACCAAGACGATTATGCCACAAGTAGGCATGACTCTCACYAGAARAACTTARRGACTYTGTAGYCACAAGACCAACTTTATTCTCCAACACGTAGAGGCCATCCACCATACTTCCTCTACCAATCGTCTTCCCCGAGGTCAAATCCTAAAATACACACGAAGAAGGAAAGAAGGTCACTGAACAATTCAAGAAATGAGTAATACTGCTAATGGAAAGTAAATTGATAGGTAATTTAGGAACATGCAACACATTACAGAGGGTAAGATCAAGAGGAAGGGAGATGGTTCCTTGACCGGCTATGGTGGAATAAGAYCCATCAGYSRRTYTCACCTTATCTCTCCCAGAGAGGAGGTTATATGCCTGAAATAAATTTGACTTACCAGTCATGTGGTTGATGCTCCAGAGTCAATTATCCAAGGGGAATCAAATGTATGAGATGAAGTGGTAAGGCTAATCTCAGACATTGAGGGGGATTTAGAATTCAGTGGTAGAGGGGATAGGAGAAAGGGCCTAAAATGAGGA